GCAGCGCTTTGTTCGCTGTTCGGCGCGGCGTTGCGGAGGGGTTTTCCCAGGCTCCGCCCTCCGCATTCATTCATGTTTTTTTTTTCCCCCCCCTCCCTCCTCCTTTCCCTTCCCTCCCTCCGTACCGCGGTGCCGCCCGGCCTCCCCCTTCCCCCCCCTTTCCCCACCACCACCTCCCCCGTCCTTCGCACAAAGCAGCCCCCCGCTCGGTATTCCGTCCCCGATCCCTCAGATCCTTCTTGTTGCTCCCTTTGTGTCCGTGCCTGCCCCTCGTTGGGTCCGTGGCTGCAGCCACAGACAAAAGCAGCGTTAAACATTAATGTTTCTCTGAGCTGGGGGGGTGCGAGTGGAGTGCTTGAAGGTGTTCTGAATTCGGTTTTTAACGAAACGTCGTTGTCCGGCTTGAAAACGTGAAAAACCCGACACGCTCTCTCCTATCAGCAGTCATTGTGCCTGTGTTAAGAGCTGTGTTGAAGTTTATATAAATCCGAGTAAATTCTTCCTGCTCCTAACTAAGAAAATGTCTCAACTCGAGGTAGTATGACTATAAAAATAAGTGGCATTTTGTTCTGTTGAGCTGGAACAGTGCAACAGCTCCACTTATACTCTCTATAAGTTCTGTAAGTACTTTGCCATAGGTCTGTAAGGGATTTCAGGTAATGAAGCAAGCTGAAAGTATAGCAGCATATCGCTGGAAAAGGGAGAAAGTGCTGTGTGCGTTTTGTTCCCTGCTGCATGCATAGTGCTTCCCTAGGAGTTCCTCCAGACCTGCACTCCAGAACTGTGGGTTTCCCTGTGTGTGCTGGTTCTGCCTTTCCCCCTGCAGATGAACATCTCTTATCTTGAAGCCCGATGTCAAGTTTAGTTTAGTTTTCTGGATTTATTTGTGTGGGGCACAAGTTGTTGGAAGTCGTTTTCAGGCTAGGAAACAGCTGATGAATGTGGAAAATAAAAAAAGGATCTTGGTTTTCTCATGCCTCTTGAGGAATCCCAAAAGCAGTGTCCCCCTTCTTTAATTTTCTTATTGTATTTGAACACACTATTCCATAGAAAGGTAGGTGCAGAAATGTTTTGTGCTCCTCACTCTTTTCCATAGCTGATTTAGGCAGGTAGAGTTCTTTTTTTTTTTTCCTTATTAATTCACATCTCTCTTAACCTTTTTTTTTTTTAATTAGCCTATGGATTAACTGACCCCTCTGACAAGTTTATGGAGCTGCCACCTCTCTGCTTGCTGTACTTTTCATTTCTGGGAGGAGAAAGCAGTGTACGAGATTAGAGGAAAATGCCTCGGACGAAGCAGATACATCCCAGAAATCTCAGAGGTATGTTGCTGTCAGCTGAGGAAAAAGGGCTTTTTGGGGAACTTGGGTGTGCTTATGGGAGGTTGAAGGAATACGTGCTTGAGGAGGTTGTTTTGATCCAAACGCTGTTTGCCGGCAATTCTAGGAGTAACCCGGGAGGCTTCTCAAATTTTGAGAGAAATAAGCAGAATCTGTTCTTATTCTTGCAGTGTGCATGACAGCACTCTCGTTATGCTTAAAGCAGTAGCCAGCTTGAGCTTGGAAAACACGCTGTTTCCTTACTAAAGAATTTACAGTTGAAATATACCAGGAAGTGAGCGTGTAATGTAGGGGCAGTGTGAGAGCTGTCAGCCAGGGGTTGTTTTTCTTAATAGTAATCAGTGTGCCTTGCTGCTGGGGGGGATCGGGCTCTTCTCCCAGGCATGCCCCCACGCTATTTATCAGCTCTGTCACTGTGCTGCCTCAGGAATCTCTGAGTTTGACCTTGGTCTCCTTGCTGCACTCCCTTACACACAGCTGAGCTCAGAGAGGAGCAGGCGTGTGAGTGACCTCCCCATAAACCGGGCAACTCCTTGAATAGTATCCCAGGACACTGCATGGGGTGGCAGATGAACACCAGCAGTCTGATCGTGCGATTGTTTGTTGCCGTCTTGGTCAAAGTGGCTCTGGAGGAATTAAATAAGGGGGAAAAATACAGATTAGTTGAAGAGCAGATGCGTGTGCAGAAGGTAAGCGCTCTTCCACTGCTGCTCTGATCAGCAGCAGTCAGGAGACAGGCTTCCACCTGCACCCTCATGTGTGGCTGTGATCAGCCCTTTTAAGGTGAGTTTCACAGCTGCAGTAGGGAAACATCCCTTTAGAAAATAAATGCAACGACAAACCACAAATATCAACGTGAAGTTTTAGGGCATTTGTTTCTGTGCTACATCTTGTTTTGATGGGTGGTTGGGTTTTTTTTTGTTGTTGTTGTTGTTGTTTTTTAAACAGCAACACCCAGCAAATGTAAGCATATGTTTCACACACAGTTGAGAGGCTTTTAAGCACTGGTGTATGCAGCTGTACCAAAGGCACTGCATTTGTGACCTGTGTCACTGCTACCACGTGGCAGCTCTGCTGTAGAAGACATTTTAGCAGTGTCTTCATTCAGGAAGTGCCGAGTAGTGTTGTTCAGCATGATGGATCAACTTCCATCACAGATCCTGTGAGAGGAAAAGCAACAGTGGGCAACTCAGCAGTGCCTGATGTTTGCTGATGCTGCTTCCCCTTCTGAGCAATAAATTAGGTCTCAGTTTTTAATATTGCTGCTTACCAGCTTGCTGATACAGCTGATGCTATGTTTTCCAGTCAAATAGAAAGGTGATCTGATTTTAGTGTTCTGTTATCTACTCTTGTATTGCTTCAAACTGAAAAGGAGTGGAATCTGATGTGAAGTTCTTTCTAGCTTTTTGTTCACTTCAGTAAATGCTTAAAATAAATAATCTAATTAAATTCTTAATTGTGTAAGAAAATAATTACTTTTTTTTTCCTTGTGTAATTTCCCCAGTCACTTAGCTTTTATTGCCCCTATTATAGAAGTTTTCATCAATTTATATTTCTCCATAACAAATAGGGGTTTCAAATAAATCAAGATGGGTTAAACATTGGGAAAAGAAATAGAGTTAGGGAATGAGCCCATGATTTGAGAGGACAACAAAACCTTTTATTAACAGATAGAAATGGTTGTTGAAACTACCCAGATTCTGCAGACTTCACCACGTTGTGAGCATGTATTGCTACTAAATGGGTTATTAGAGGTGAAGTGATTTGAAGAATCAGTTTACTTCTCATTAGTTATGCCCTATTTCCATTTTTAGTCTAGATAATGAGGAAAGCTGGATTTCAGTTTATTTTACTTGTTTCTGAGAATGTATCAGAAGATGCTTGCTGAAAACATCAGTTTTTGATGGAATTGAAAGAGGCTGCAAGATTTTGTATTTCTCTTCTCCCACAGCTTATTCTTGTGTATGGGAGGTTGGACCAGCCTCAAATTGAGAGTTATAACCATTAAAAGTAAAAAAAAAAACAAACCAACCAAACATGTTCTATGTCTGTGGTGTTTAATTTATGGCTATTGGTACAGATAATAACAAGATCTGTAAAAAAAGAACACGTGGCTGTGATCTAAGATGAAATAAAGATGCAATATGAAGTGGTTTTTGTTCTGAGGATAAAAGGCATGTTTACATTGTCTGAACTTAATTATTACCTCCTGCTCTATGTGCTAAGAATGCCCCATGCCCCCACCTGGCTTCTTCCTTCCTTGTCTCAACCCCTCTGGTTGCCCCATAGTGATTGAATGGCCAGTGGCTTTACCTGGGCTTGTCTGGGATCCATCAATGTTTAACTTTTCCAAGAGAGCACTGTCTAACAACCCTTGGCTGCTCTGTTGTGCACTGGATGAGTTGCTGGGTTTGCACTTGCTTTCCAAGTCAGCCTGAAGAATAAACAACCAAGTCCAAGAACCTAAAATATGTATACAAATTCTGAAGCAAAAGAAAACCAAAGCAACCAAACCCATAACTTCACCACCTCCTCCTCCTTCCTCCCC